GGTTCTCTGATGAGCAGCTCTGCTGGTAGCTCTGATGCTTTCCTGATGAGCAGCTCTCATGGATTATCAGACTTGTAGTTCAGCTAGCATCTCTCATAAATTGCCAAGAACAACTCTGAAAGCAATTCTCATAGCAGCTCTGATGCTTCTCTGAAGAGCAACTCTCATGGAGCAGTTCTCCTAGCAGTTCTGATCTGAAGTATCAAGAGGATCTCTGATCCGACGACTATGCTAAACTTACAAGGAAAATTCTAATACAAAATTTCTATAAGGGGTACTTTAAAATTCTAATCTAACCTAGCATCATCAAAATCTAATTACATTTATTCCTTACAGGGGCTGCTGGTGCGCCGTCCCTCATCCTAATCTCCTCCTCAATGGAGGCATACTTCTGTGCCCTAGCCAAGACTTCGGTATAGCTAGTACTGGGATTCCTCCGGAGGTCCCGGTACAGGTCCCCCGTAGCTAAGGCGCTAGTGAACATGTTCACCCCCCAGCCGTTCGTCCAGGTCATCCACCTGCAGGACTTCATCCCTCCATCTGACTAGAAACTTGGCCAGAGGTTCGTCCTTTCCCTGCTTCACACTAGTGAGGGATGTGAAGCTCTTCTTGGGGGTGGTGCTAACGGCGAATTGCGCCATGAATTGTTGGGACAGCTGCTCATAATTGTCGATGGATCTGGGTCTCAGCTGTCCGAACCATTCCTGCGTCGGACCCCTCAAGGTGCTAAAGAAGAGTCGGCATATAGCCTCGTCTGAGGCTCCCAGCATGGAGAGGTTCCCTTGGAAGCTGATCAAGTGGGCTTTAGGATCCCCAGTCCCGTTGTACACTATACCTCCGGGCGGCCTGCAGTCCCGTGGGATTTCCGCATTCATGACTCTCGGCGTGAATGGTGATGTGAGGGAAAAATGCGCCGTAGCCGGGGTGGCCTCCGCTCGTCTATCCATCTCGGCTATTCGCTGTTCCATCGCCTCTAGCCGGGCCTCCTGTGCGGCCCTTCCGGGGAACACAGGAGGGGCGGCCTCAAGCGTGATGTTCCTCTGTGGTGCAACCGCGTCGGATTGCCTTCGAGTGATATTGGCGCCTCGTCTTTGGAAGCGGCGCCCAATATTGCTGGCAGCGGGGGTGACCGCCATGTCCTGACGTTCTGAGGGTACATCTGGCGTGCGCCCCCGATGATCGTCCTGCCAGCCATAGTGGGGGTACTGGCACTGGTGTGCCCCCTGGTTCCGTGGGAGGGCGGATTTTGGCCCAACCTTGTGTGAACGGGCGTCCGACGCCCAGCAGATTCCGCCGTTTCATCTAGGGATTGCATGTGATGGATCGGGGAGATGGGCGTCCAGATTGTGTTAGCTAAGTACACCTCCTCATCTGCTTCCTGTTCGTCCGCCATTCGGCGCATAGTTTCCGCCAGCTCCCTCATGAGTCGAGGGTAGCGTCTAGCCTCGTGGGGGATAAGGCTGGTGAGGCCACCATCACCCCCAGTGGTCCCCAGCGTTTCAGAGCGTTCCGTGGTTTCCCCGCGGCTCCTTCGCCCGCGAGACAGTTGCTCGGAGAGGTCATGTTGTTGATTGTTTCTCGCCATCGTGCTTGCTGTGGGTAGATTTAGTAGCTGTTTTGGGAGAGTTTTGGAAACTTTTAGTTCACTTTCCCACAGACGGCGCCAGTGTTGAGGTTTATTCCTTCAACCCTCGGGTCCAACACGTAAGCCCAAGGATTTCGAGTGGAGTGTGTATGAATAACTAGCCCAACTAACAAGTGAGATGGATTAAGAAACAATAAGTAGCAAGTAAATGATTAGGTATTATTAATCTGTTAATAACTCTCCAATACAATACTTTTCGCTAAAGGCTCGTTAGCCGTTCGTCTTACAAGGCAGTAGAAGTGCTGCGAGTAAGAAGGCTATAAGCTAGAGTGCTAGGAATAGAAAGTTGCTAACCCTTTACAATGAAATAAATGCTTCTATTTATACCACCAATGGGCAGTTGGCTATGCTGACGTGGAGGATTGTGGATGGCTGGTGTCCCAACCACCAAATCTTCAGTATTAAATGCGCTTCCCGCCAGAATCTAAATCTCCCGCCTAATTCATGGGACGTTCGTCCAGCTGGGGAGGTGAGTCGCCCCTGGTGATATTGCAAAGGGTATTGGGCCGTTCGTCCCCTGGCCCTTGGGGGATTTCGCCATGTGCGCTGAATTGCCTTCAGCGGTTATGGGCTTCCTCTGACGACGTCCGTCGTTATTCTTGCGGTCTGTGGGCCTGTTCCTTGTCAACGGGTAGATGTTCGTCGGCTTGATTGCTGAGCCCAGGCCTTGGTGACGACGTTCGTCCCTTCCAATTTGCTTGTCAGTTTAGCCCACCCAAACCTATCCAGACGTACGTCCGCGAAGAGGGTAAATGGGCCGAACTCTCATTTGGGCCATTAACCCAACAGTTTTGTTCTAACTTGAGTAAAACTTTGCCCTTTAAATTTCACCTACCGAGCATCGGACTGGAGTTGTACTGATTTTTTAATTAAGAATTACTATAGATTCTACCTATTGAATGTGTTTCGAAAGTTATTGTGCTTAAATGATAGCATTACTTTTCATATACGGGCTCAACTAACATTTTCTCACAAACTCATATTTGAGTATTGTTTAATAATGTCATAACACACTTTCACGTATTTGCACCCCCGATTTGCCAATTTACCCGGAAAATTCATGTAAATAATGCAGTTTGTATAATTGTGAAATCTATTTTAAAAGTTTTATTACGTACAAAACACAAATAATTGTAATTTAAATATTTCTGTATTGGGGGAACATATTAACAAGCAAGATGGTGGTGCCAAGATGTTTTCATGGCAAGTCATCCATGCATATATTGTGTCATTATAAATGATATAAATGATACTAAATTTGTAATGTAAAGACAATTTCTATTTCATTTTCCTTTCATTTAGAGAAAGTGCAATTTCTCTAAAGAAGAATGAAGTTAAATAATTTTGGGGTAGAATTTCATTTTGGTGAATTTAGATTAAAAAATTGAAATATGTAAAAAAGTATTTCGACCGTAGTGACTATGCTTAACATGTCATAATAATCCCAACTATTGCCAATCCGCTAACAATAATCCCAACTATTGATTATTTTTGTATAATCTCAACTATATGGACCCTCCGCCAATAATGGTCCATGACCGGATATTAAGAGTAAAAATTAAGAGTGAAAATTAAAATTTGGGATTATTTATAGGGATTATCTGCTATACCTAAAAAAATTATATGTATAAATACATATTTGAATATTTTCTCATAAATTTATATTTAAGTATAGTTTAGGAAAGACATAACACATTTTCACATATCTGCACACCCCCCCTGATTTGCTAGGTTACATCAGCAATTCGTCTAAATAATATAATGCAATTCGTATAGATACAGATATAACACATTTTCACATATCTGCACATACCCCTGATTTGCCAAGTTACATCAGCAATTCTTCTAAATAATGCAATTCGTATAGATGTAATGTCACCATATTATTTAGCAATTATAAAAATTTATACCTTCAATTAACATAATAGACCTTTGATTTGAAAATGAAGAAAGATCTTTGTCAAAAATTTACTTCAATGAAGGATTTTAATAAGGGGAAAATTTCCAATATGAGTAAATAAGTTTGAGGATTCTAAAATTAGATTGTCATGTTTTTTATGGCCAAAATAGGCGTAATTAATGTCAAGTTTGAAAAATATTGTCATGTTTAAGATTCAATTTTGGAATACATAAAACTTTTGTTGTTCTATTTAGTGTAATTTCCCTTTTAACAAAAGTTAATGCTAGACAGAATGTACAAAGAAGTGTTTCATAAAATTTGCCATGAAATGTAATTTGTTTTCAAATGATATTTATATTGCGTGTTACTATTTTGTGGGCTATAAAAAATAATGTTCATCATAATATTAAAGATGTGTTTTGTGTATTGCATTTTGTGTATCTTTATTGCATGACATTGCTTAGCGTCGTCAATGAATAGAGTGTCTTGAACTATTTAACTGAAATACAATTTAAAAAAAAAAATTCATGCCGTGCATCGCACGGGTGAGATTACTAGTTGGTAATACAACACATGAGTACGGGTAATCTACTAGTGTTATTTCATTCATTTTCATATATCTCAACTCCCAAATAACGTGTTTTTTGTACATTTTCAGTATATCACTATCATGACCTCGTGAGTGGTAGCATTTTTGGGTACATTATCAATGTATATGTTCCCAAACATAGTTGCTAACTTGCTATATTTTCTCGATTCTTGTATGAGTAAATTTTGATTATATATTACTAAGGTTCTCATGATAAAATGACACGGTTATTTACACAATAATTAAAAAAGGTAATTCAAGTATATTTTGAGAAATAAATTTTACGGAGTATATGTATAAGATATAATGGGGTTAGTGTTGATAGTTGTGATGTTATAAATGTATTATTTTTAATAATTTTAATGATTATTTTGTTATTTAAGATTGTTAATTGTTTTCTAAAATGAGAACCTTTATATAGACGTCTAAAAAAAGAAAGTGAGAATCCTTCTATGAGATGGAGGTAGTAATAATTATAGGACAGCAGAAATATAATTTATTACAAATCAAACAAAAAGACTGGGAACTGCAGAAACATAACTTTTGTGACATTAGGGTGCAAGGGAAAGCACATATATGTAAATATGGAATATCATTCCTTAATTAGTAGAACACGTTAAAAATCTTTTGGTCACATTTTTACGCAGTACACATTTTGATTGATTGAATTATTGAAATCATATTAATTTGTATATGATACCAATTGATTGGTACACAACACACATTAATCAATCAAAATGAGCGGTAATGGTACACTGGTACAAGATATGTTGCACAGAAAATTTGAACTCTTAGCCCTTTTTTTTTTGGGGGGGGGACGGTATTACCTATTTTGGATGAAACTATATTTTATGAGCCAGGTTAAGATACAACAGAAGTTAAATCTTATGTACCAACAGACATAATGCCATAATGGCATTCAAAAATAATGATTGATTTTGTTATTAGTAGTAAGATATCAGAATTGACAAATGCCTTATATTAAAACAATAACTATCAACTTTACAAAGAAATTTCATTACATGATTTCAAAATTGCTGCTAAAAAAAGCAACTCAAATTCAACAATATTAACCCTATGTGCTACCAATAAGGCACTCTAATGCTAACATTCCTACCCTTTGAGTAAAAGTCCTGTTTTTTCTCTTGTCACTCTTCATTTACACGGTCAGATCCTACATTCTTACAGCAACTACTCATGTACACAACTTAGCATGCCCAAGACTGTCTTCTAGAGAGCTTCAATTTGACAGAAACAGAAAAGGAAAGCTCTGAAATCCTTTTTGTGTCTCACCTTTTCTGTGTGAAATCCTTTTTGTGTCTCACCTTTTCTGTGCTTGGAGAGCAGCAGCCCTAATACATATTGACATGAGAAGTGTGGCTTTCTCAGCTCACTTAGTGGTGAGATAAAATTACACCAGTGGCTGTCGCATGCCTGTCTTCAATTACACCTAATAATATATATACAAATTTCATTTTATATGCAATTGTATAAAAGTCATGTTAACCGACCCAAACTCTCTTGGGATGAAGGCTTGGATGTTGTTGCAATTAAATAGAAGCCTTACAAATTTTAAAGACTAAAGTTATCATGTACTCCTTCCGTCACTTATACTTGGTCAACTTCAACTAGCACGTTAAAATAAGAGTGAAAATGTGTGGTTGAATTTTGTGAGGAGAAGAAAGAAATAATATTTACTGCAAGCTTGTTACTTAAGGGAAAGTGACAGTTTTGGGAACGGCCAAATAAGGAAAGTTGGCAAAGTTTATTAAAAAGTGAGGGATTGTATATTTAAGCCACCAATGACAATGCAATAAAAAGTGCTTTCTTGGTCCCATAAAACTTGGCCATATTTGATTTGCATGTAGAATAAATAAAAATTGGGTGGCTGAGGTTTCTAAAGAGGAGAGAGAATAAAATTACCCACACACTTGTTATCTTAAATGGAAAGTGGCAAACATTTTTTGACAAGCAAACAAGAAAAGTTGGCAAAGTTAGGAAGGACAGAGCGAGTAACAAATTATAAGTCGCTAACTTATGAACAATGAGATAATCTGTCTGCACATAATCAGCGGTAGCAACTTACCTTGTAGTTTGTCACCTATTTGTCATTAACCGCCGCCGGATGTGAAATGCACAGGGACATACATACCAAGTAAACTCTTCTTAGAGATGATGTACTCTGAACCAAAACTGATGACTGGATGGTGCAATCTATAAAGCTTCAAGTAAAACTGAGGCCTTTGTAAAAACAGTAAGTACAAAAGGTGCCTCTTCACCAGGGTGTATGGTTGTGGGCACAATAGTGTAACCTTTTGGATCAGGTTCTAACACCATCTCACATGAAATTTCTCGAGAGTTTACGTAATCAGTCCCACCAACAGATTCATGCAAGTAAATGTTGTAGGCAGCACGCCGGCCACGGGTCTTTAGAATCCTCATGCCAATGTAGAACATCATGGAATCGTGGCTTGACTGATAATTTCTGAAACCAGCAGTCGTCCTCGAGAAGCTCACGCCCTAATATATAAGCATTTTCTTTAGAGTTCAATTTATGGTCAGAACAGAGTTTTATGACTAAATAAATAGCAGTTAAATTATACACGCAACCTGAGTTAAGGTAATGAAAACATGAATGGGTAAAGAAGCATCGGGCCCTCTGGCTCTCAGACGGAACTGTGGGTTCTGATGCCATGTATCATAATCCTGGCATCCGCCTGCACTACAGCCCCGCCACTGTCCGTGAACAGAATAGCGCATTTCTGGAGGGTACACACGACAAACATATATTGACCTGAAGTGTATTTGAAAATCTTGCCAAGACATCCAAAATATGCCATCTTTTGCCTGTTTAAACAATAATCAACAAAATAAGAACCACAAACCTTCTGACTAGTCATTTTAGTCATTTCGATTCGTAAATAGAGACAGCACAGTATGTCCCACATACTTCTGAAATTGTATAATTATATACAACACATAGGAAGAACTACCTGGGGAATATGTTTAAGCTTGTGTCTCATCCTGTCTGTCCATTCAGGTGATGAATCAGACCAAGGGCCATTCCACTCAACCTCATTTGCCCATGGATTTCGGATTTGAACAAGTTTATAGCCATCTACTTCTCGTACCTTATAACACAAACCGATATATTAAATAAGATGACTATTGAATTATTGATTCTTCCTTTGGCACCAGCATTAGCAAGGTAAAAAGGTATATTTACATTATATATCTGCACATGCAGTCACATAAAGCATAAAATGTTTAAACTAAGAAATATGACTGATATACCTGTAATATTGAGTAGGCATGCCCTTGAACAATGCCACTCGAAGAAATATGCACGTCTGAACCTGAAGGGCTACCAGCGCCAAGCAGAAAACCTTCTTGTTTGAAGCGCAACACTTGAGACCATAACCTTCCACTAGCAAGATCTATCTGTGCTTCTGAACTTCTCATATCTATTTCCTCACCGGCACCTCCAGTTAGATCAACAAGAGCATCTTGGACAAGCCCGCCTTCTAATGCCTCATACGAACCATGAAGCTTCGCATATGCTTTCTCCAAGATAGAGACCCACATTTCATTTCCCTTCTTGCTGGTGGCAAATGCTGGTTTACCAGGTGACTCGCAGGGAATCCAATCATCAATAACAACAGGAACCCATTCGCCCTGAAAAAGTTTTTAAACAAACATGAGTTCTTATAAAGTTTAAATTAATGTAAATCATTACACCAAAACTGACTTATCTTGAGTAGAAAAATGTGTGGTGTACATAAAAGTTGTACACTTTTTGTGTACACTTGTCTGTCCCCGCAGTCCAAGTTGTCTGTCGACATAAAGGCAAACATACTCAAGATGACAGACAACTTGTTTGTCGACACAGACAACTTGGACTGCGGGGACAGACAAGTGTACACAAAAAGTGTACAACTTTTGTGTACACCTAGCTTCACTCATCTTTAGTATGTTTGCTAAATCATTAGGTGGGATTTCCCATTACACAGTGTAGAGTCAGATTCGAAATTTGAAACTTGAAACGTAGAGCACTTATCACTTGTCACACTTGATGCTACAAATTGGTGGTGTTTTAAGTAACTGATTATGCAAGAGGTTGGGTTATAGGGAATACATATTGATGGTGTTTTAAGTAACTGATTATGCAAGAGGTTGGGTGATAGGGAATACATATGAGACCCAAGTCTTACCATTCATTCACATCAGACAAGAGGTGGCATCATGAGGATCGAATAGGTATAAACAGAGGAACAAATCAGGGTTGGGTTGGTAAGCTTAGAAGCTTATTCAGAGGAACGAATCATGTATAAACAGCATTTAAGGTGAAAAGACAAATCACGCTTTGAGAACCATGCAATACCATTCGCTCATATCCGAAAGAAAAGTCAGCAAACTGCTGCTCAAAGTTAAAACGGCTGGGGGGAGATGAAATGAAACATGTCCAAACATGTCCACAAAAGTTGGCCATGACTTGAACGTAGAATAAGAAAGTAATAACTGTGTGGTTGAGATACGTCATACGTGTGGAGGATAAAGGACTAACTTCAACCACATATTTACTGCATTAAATGGCGAAGTTTTTTGGGATGGCTAAATAAGAAAAGTTGGCAAAGTTTTGTGGTATGGAGGGAGTATTTGTATACACAACTTCAAGTTTTCTGGGATTCCCATATAATAGTTTGACTAGTTTTTTTCATAGTAATGAAATGAAAGTTGCACACTTGCACTGCATATGATGGTGAGAGGACAAAAGTGTAATCTTGAGGTTTTCTTTCCCTCCCTCCCCTTCTCTCCCAACTCCCAAACAAAGCCTGAGTGAACAGTAAGCAGCACTTTAAAAAGCGTGAGGTGAACTCACAATATAATGCCTTAGATTTCTTTAAAGAAGTAGCTTGTAGTCAAAAGGAAACTCATACTAATTAATGCATAACTTTATAGTTACTAAAACATAAATGATGGCTCACCTGGATACAGAACCGAACTGTATAGATTCCTTCCTCATTGTATTCAGGTGTAATTATGACTTCTGATATTCGTGAAACCTCCGTTAAAACAGCAACAGCACTCAGAAACCAACAATCACCCAGCCGTCCCTGAAAAGCATAGTAGAAACATTTATTATATAACCAAGGGAATTGTCTCCCCATGAAGGACAGTGGAGTGGAAAAGCCAACGAAAATGTTTGGAGTTCGGAAAGGGTAGGATCACAAGTATTATACAGCATAAGTAAAATATATTGTTAGCAAAACCTGGCAAACGTCTGAAGAATTTGCGGCTCCAGAAAACAGGCATGGGCCAGAAACAAACCGTTTTTCTTTGACTATTTCAATGGGTCTCATCCACGCAGCAACAACCTTCAAACAAGCTTATTATGAGCACTGGAGACATGCTCCAAAAGTGAAAATCAAGAAAAAGACACATTACATAGTTTCACACTTTCACATAGTTGCCTAGAAAACTCACCTGCAGTTTTGAAGGGGGGTTATCTGGATCGACAAATAATGAGCGGTCGCTTGGAGGGAACTCTTGATCTGTAAACTGGGATTCTCCTCTTGCCAATAGAGCCTCCTTCACAGCCACCTCAACTGAGAGCATGCGTTGATTCATTTCTTCCTGAGTCTCCAATGAAGGTTTCCTCAACCTTCTAGTAAAAGAATCGATGTCCAATGCAACCCCATCCCGTTCAGATCTTCTCTTCCTCCCACTAGAATATTGTCCATCCCAATCCACATCATCTCTATCATAAAGATCAACATCTGCAGGATCACTCTCCCAGTCATCGACCTAAAATGAAAGAATTTATAGGATATACAATTAGTGGATGATGAAGAACAATGAATGTGGAGGTGTTCTAAATGTAAAAGATTGAATGAACTGAATCAGAAGAGCCTTATATGCAATAAAAAATCTTGGGCATAGAATAGAGACCCTGATTGGAGATTCTGCCCATTGCCAATTATCATCTGGTAGATTGATCATATTATACTCGGCAGAACCTATTGCACCAGGAATAGTGGCAATCTCATCATCAGTTAAGCACCTTCCCCAAAGAAATACATCCATTATCTGCATCTTAGAATCAGGTCCTTCACTGTCTGTTCTCCCGAATGCATCAAGATCAATAGGTGGCCTTATTCCCACCCAAACTTCTGTCCCTTGCTCCCATACGCAACTACCAATGTGCAGTGGTAGCCCTGTTTGGTAGCCATCAAAATTACCATCTAGATAGCAAGCCACTTCACCTACATCAGCATCTACAGTAATTGTAATTATATGCCACCTGCAAAGCAAGTTCTCTTATCAGGAAAATATTAATCCAAGTATCCAACTCCTATACATCCAAGAAAAAAGAAAACAGGAGCGTGAAATTACAATGCAAGTCCCAAGTGTTGAGAGGTTCTAAACAAACTTGACATATTGTGTAATAGTGGTATCAACAGTAAGCTATAAATACTGGCATGGCATTCCAGAGGCAAACTTTAAAGGAAACAAACCTTCCATCAGCAACATTACTAGCACCTACACTCCACTCCTTTGAGACTGTTGTTTGTCTGTCACCCTTGGTGATTAATCTAAGCCCAACTTGTCCAGCTTCAATACCTTGCTCTGATCCAGCAACAAGAAACTCCCAGCATATTTTCTTCTGCAATTCAGAGCCCAACAGACAAACTGGTCCAGACTCAAGCTGCATCATAACAGCAATAGAAATGCTAACTTTTTTACTGCAACAAATACTGAGATCAATAGGGCCACAATGTCTGCCGCTGGTAGTTGGTTCATCATCGAGAATGCATACAGCACCACTAATTCCAGTCTGCAACAGAGAGTGTAATTCGGAAGCTACTTTTAGCATATAAACATCCAGAAGGGAGCGTGTCAAGAAATAAAGATGTGGGAGATGCACTGCTATACTTGCATTGAAAGAACACAGATAGGAGAAAGAAATATGAAGAGTTGTATATTAAGCAAGACACATCATACTGATAATACCTTTAAGCCTCTCAAAAACTACAACTAATGGGATAATGACAACCTGGAGTGCTCGACGAGATAGTTGGGCAGCACGTATACGCCGCGCAATGCTTGAAACTCTCTCACGAGCAAAAGAATCATCAAGCACAGAATCACCTCCAACTGCACGAACAGCAGCTGCTACTGCTGCTGCTTCTCTGTTGCCAGCATTGGGAATAGATGACATAAGGGAAGCTTCTATCTCCTTCCATTTGCGCTCTTCCTTCTCCAGAAGAGCCCTCCTCCTTTCTTTGCCCCTTCCTTCCTCTTCACGTCTCTGCATCAATATTTCCTCTTCCATCTCTTTCTCTCTTATATAGCTACAAGCATAGATATATGAATTTAAGAAAACTCAATATTGATCAAGATAAGGAAGCAGCAGAGCACTAATACTGAGATGATTCTATATACCTCTCTTGTACAAGTTCAAATCGTCTGCGTTCCTCCGGAAGCCACTTTTTTATATCCTTAGCACTGAGATCTGAGAATCCTATGCTGTCAAGGAAAAGTCTTAAACGAACCTCATCCTGTAAAAGCAGAAGGTTAGCAAGAAAAAGACTGAGCTGCACGATAGATAGCTTATACATTACTACCTGTACACGTTCAGCTTTAGCAGTCAAACCAAGCAAAAGAAGCAAATAACCACCAAATTTGTCCCACATGTAAACCCATTCAGTGTCAATTGCTTCTTCCAAAGCTAGTATACGGGCATGAGCACACATTTCTCTTTTGTGACCTATACCAGTGGTAACTTCGTGCCGCATCTTCCTGTTTCTCAGTCTAGCAAAAAAGGATCCAGCAGCTAGTTCTTCATTTCTAAGACGATCTCTCAATTTCATCACATCAGCCCTAGGAAGTACAAAATTGCCTCCTTTATCTCTCATTACAGTAGGATCCCCAACCAAAAGAGCAGCTGAGCTGGCAGACCTCTGGGGAGCAGAGTAGGTTCCAGATAAAGCGTTTCTTGTCTGAATAAGAAATGGAACTTAAGGTTAGGAACTTACGATAAAAACATGCAAGAGAACTATATTCCCTTGCGGCTACGCCACAATACACATGATGGCAATAAATCGTATACATGATATGACTATCTAAAACAATACCACATTTTTATCCAAACAAATTATTTACAAATTAGTATTGCTGTATTAAAAAGCAGCCATCAGAAGATAATAATTGCTAGTAAAAGTATGCACCTTGGTGGCAGATCGAGAAATTGCCTGGACTACAGTTTCCTTGCTAAGAAATTGAACAGCATCTTCAACCATCTGGTATTTCAAAATACATAGAAGTTGTAAGTTAAAAGAAAACCCAAAAAATTATTTTAAATGAAAACAATATCAATTTTGTCAAAATTAATTTAAAAGATCATTTGCACCAAAAAAATAGCAATGAAAAAAACAATCTTCATAAGTAAAAAAGAATTTTTATCCAAAAAGATAACAAGAGGTACTAGCACATACAAAAAAGTTGCAAAGGAGAAGGCCCCCAAACCCAAAAACGTATGATGTAAATAAAAAATTTCATTACCCTCCCAATGAAATACTAATCTCATTAAAGACAATTTTGTTTTAGTCTTCTAGATCATCCAAGTAATAGCTGAAAGAAAGGTAACAACATTGTTTCAACTTATTTAAATATAACATTTGCAAAGCCCAAAACTTTCCTTTTAAAAACTTTGCACCAGAAATTACTAACTGTTGAGCCAAACGAAACAATAAGAGTATGCTCAACGCAGCAAGAGAGTTTGTCAGTAGAGATAAAGGAAAACCTCTAGGGTCAAACATGGGCGAGAGACGGCAAATCCAAAGGCTACAACAAGCGTAATTGCTGAAACAGCAGCTCCAGCAAAAGGTGGATAGATTTTCAAACTGGCAACTACACCCCAGCCTTCAATAGCTAATGCAATCCCATAGAGCAAAAGAAATGCAGCACTGATAAAATGTAGAAAAAATGTCAGGTACTTCAAGATTTTTTTTAAAAAGATGATAAAACCATAGTATCTTATATCTAGATAAGAAAGTTTCAAATAATTGAACATGCGGATGAGAGTGTGACAAAACCTGACGTTTTTCCCACAATCTGCATGAGCATCATATACATACACAGGCAACACCCTTGGGGAATAGACTACTATAGGAGGTGAAAGTAGCACCTAGATAAGAAAGAATAAATTACTCAGGATATTGAAGCAGTGAAATTTTTATGCATATAGGAAGTACATCTGTCTGTAGGAGAGGCCTGACATGACAAGGAAATTGGTATGGGTGAGTATTATTGCAAGAAAGATAAACTTACAGACAATGCTCTTCCAGCTAGAAGGAAAAGAAATGAGAAGTAACCAACAGATGCACCAACAAAAGCCTTGTCTGAAACAGAAATAGTCAACCAATATAAAGCATGTGAATTGATAATTGCCTTTCTCTAAGAAGTCATTTGGTGAGTCAAACAAAAATATAATCACGAGTGACATGACCAGTAAGACCAAGAGAATGGCTTCACCTTGAAACCACCCAACAAGAAAGGCCGCCAAAGCCACAAGAAATGCTAGGAAACAAACAACTAGCGTCTGCACTCTTGTCAGATAGAAATTATTCGAGGCCCAGAAGTGAATTGCACCAATAGCTAGTACAAGGAGGAGCAGAACTAAGAGGAATGCTGCTCCTATCTGTCATAATACGAAAATGACACTTATTAGAGAGGAACCATATGAACTTAAGTGATCAGGAATATTCACTTATCCTCCAAGGAGTATTCGCTTACCCTCCAGGGATGAACTGTAACAATGATGGCTGAAATGGCACCAAGAAGAAGAAGAAGACCAATAGTAATGAATATATATGCGCCTCGAGAAAGTTTCCAGTTATCATCTTTCCTGGAAATTTTCACAATAGCCACTCTAAATTAATATATGTGCACATCTTCAGGATAAGTAGTTTAGAAGTGTGGAAAAAGAATCCAAAAAGAGCGTTAAAGATCAGTTAATTTTGAAAGCACGACATTACCATTTGAATAAACCCGAAGAAAGCGCCAAGACTGCTGGAATGCATATCAATGGAAGCAATGCGGCAAGGAAATCTTCCTTTGTTGGGACCTGATCAACCCTCAAACTCACCACTTTCAAGTAGGAAACACTACAAAACGCCACAAGAACAGCTACAAACAGATAGAGTAGAAAAGAACTTTAGTCAGTATTAGTGCGGAAGATAACTAATGATGAAGAAGACAGGAAAATTATGTGGTCACAAAGAAAGAGTTACCTGCAAATATGCCACTAGAAATACCAGATGAAAGAGGGAACCGGTATGTCGCAAACCATGATATGATGGGCAGCAAGCCACTAACTAATAGAGCAATTGCAGATGCCATTGCCCAACCTAGGTAAACAGATGATGCATAAGGAGAGGTTACACCACTCTGATCACCAGTTAACCCTTTGTATTCTAAATCATCTAATGGTTTTGCAGACACTATCGCTCCAAGAGCTACAACAGATCCAGCAAATAAAGACATGTAGATACATAGAACGACGCCCTGTAAAAGATATTCAAACATTTTTCAAGCATTATGTTAGTTAAACCAGAGAGAAAAGAATGCAATTTAATCAATTAAAACAATGGGAGAAGATTCTTCTGAAAACAGAGAGCGAAAACGCACACAAACATATTCTGGAAGGAATCTCCTCACATCGACCACCCATACAGTTATTATGACAGAAAATATTTTTACTTCTTCGACTAAGTAATCATATACCGTTTGCAGCACAATGCACAGATAAGACTACAAAATTACCTGTTTCATCCCTGTAGTTTGATGATCTCCTACACCACCCCCATTCTCAACTCTTGACCCCCAAAACTGATAGCCATTACGAACCCATATTGGAATGGCGAAGGACAGGCATGCTACCATTAAAGGAACCATCAAAGACAACCCCAGCAGAACTGATGATTTGCTGTACATGATATTCATGTTGCAATTTAGAGAAACAATGGAGAAAGACAACAGAAAGAATGAAATCAGAGCACATCTTCATTTGAAAAGTAAAAATTTAAGTAAATAAATATGGATGTCTGCCAATCCTAGCTGGCTATATGATTAGTGACCATGAGTTCCAGACTAAAACAAAAGTAGGCATCACAAGTTTCTCTAATCCCATAATAATCTCGTTTTTATTTCAAATTTTTGTGCTTCACTACGATCGAGTTACTTGCTGAGTAATTGGATTAACTAAATAGCTAAAATTGCCTATTACGCGCCGCGAGTAATTCAGACTATGAATCTGGCCGAAAAGGTAGGCAACTAGGCAAGGTGTAGTGGCAAATAGCGAGTACTTGCAACTTGAATTTAAAATGCAATTCAGCTACATTAAGGCTACAAAATGACAACAGAACAGATGCAATCCAGAAAGGAGCAGGAGCCTTTGTCACTTTTTGGGTAGTATTTTCTGCAACTGTATCATAAATGTCAAATACAAGATGCAATTTCGACCGGATAAGCTTTACCAAAAAAAAGTATCAACTCACTCATTAATCCAAGACACAAGCGTGCACGGATAACTGAAGCTTAAAATTTTCTTATTATTTGATTTGTTTACATTAATAACTGCTTTGCTTCAAAACTTATCCCAAATTTAAGGTAAAAAAGAAAGCTCATCACAGAGCAAGTCCAATGCACATCAAAGTCGTTATCAATAATATGTGATGCCCCACGAAAAAAGATATCTAAATATCATATTTTCCATGTGTAGTAGTAATTAATATACATTATAATCATTTCCTTCATAAAAAGAAATGAAATACTGATTTCAAAAAAAATGTCAGGTTATACACATACCTTAGGAATGACAGAAGCAAACCAACACAGGTGCTCAGCATCCAAGCAATAAACCCATACTGTAAAAAATGATAACATGATTACAAATATATAGTATGATCAACTCATTTGCCACATAAAGACAAAAGAAATAAAGAGCAACAGGAACCACAAGTAAAAAGCTAACTATTTATGATGAGGTCAACTATTAGGCAACGCCAATCAAGATATCAGAGCTTCCTTTTTAAGAAACCCTATTGAAACAGATATTCTCAACAAATAATGAGGCCATAACATTTTTTACCACCTATGACAGACAGATAATGAGACCAAGGGAAAAAATCAAATAAAAAAAACTCAAATTTCATGGATTATGGGAAAAACACCTTGCGTGACTTCGAAGTCATGGCAAGCTCTTCCAGCTGAAGAGACCGGACGAATGCCAGTATTGAGCATATGACAGGAGACAGAAGCAGCACCACAATACCAAATTCAAACTGCAAAAGATGTTTTGAAGCATTTTAGAGGAGAAAGCTTAAGTTATATACAAGAGATGGAAAACGAGTCTACTTTCTTACCTGTTGGTGTGCAGCATTTATAAGGTTTATTGTCTTTGGACGAACCATTCCCACAACCACAGTTTCAAGGATGAAGACTAGACTAAAAAGAAGCCATGCTCTTTCCGGAGTTCCTACAATGTGATGCAAAACCATTCTGCAAAAAAGAAGCCACTTTCCTAATCCTTGGAGTCGGAGCTCTTCAGAAAAAGAAATTTGATGAGGAAACACATGGTCAACACTGTTCGAGTCAATGACAGTCGCATTGGTATTGTCACAGTGATCTCTATCTGCATCCAAACTACTTCTTTGTAATAATGCAAGGATCCTTGGATCTAAACCATTCTCTTTCAGCATTACAGAAAAATTTGGATCCAGTCCTTTATTTTGTAATAAATTAGTAAGTTCAACATCTCCTTGTCGTGTCTTCTTCTTTAATATTGAGGTGATTCGGGGATCATTCAACTTTTCCTGGAAAGAAAATGCCATATTCAAGTCCATCGTTTGCTGATTTATGGAAGTTGATGCACTGGACTCGCAGCCTTGGTTTTCAATGTAATTACTTGAGCATACTGGCAGAGAGTTGCGATCAAAATTCTTGTCAACACACGACGAGACTAGGTCAGGCTCTTGAGCGACTGATCTGCATGAACTACTACGCAATGCTAAACTAGGCCTTCCGCTATCCATACTCTTATCACTATTGATGCCCTCAATAGTATTCCAGCTATTAACATCACCAGCGCAAGACACAGTAGTATTAGCAAGATGACCAGGATCTGCACTGCTACTGCGTTTCACGCTAGACCCACACCCCTCGGAAGAACTAGCAGAACTACTTTGATCTTTTCTGCGGAAACCATTTCTAAGGCGAATAACTGTACTCTGCAAAGCATCTCTTCTTGCCACCGATGGATCTGTAGCAGATAAGTGGCGTGAAACAGCAGCACCTAGAAGCACGGATGCCACAACTGCATAACTAGTGCAATGTCCCAAATACCTGCAAAATGAAGGATGCAGTACAGCACTTAACAAATAGATAGTAAAATACATGCAATTAAAAGCATATCTGCCTTAAAGCCTCCAACAAACCAGTATTGAACTCCAAAACATATCAGGAACACCCGAGACACTCCCGCAACAAAAAGTGCAACGACACGGTTTCTAAGAAGCTGAAATCCATACAAGCATGCCCCTGTATTCCAGTCTGACAGGACAATCAAAGATGACAATAAGCTACAAAGAGTCATGGAATGGTTTCAAAAAATCTCTTACCTAGAAAGCCAAAGAGAACTATTTATTAATATTTGTGTGTGTGCATCAAACAGAAAATAAATGGAACATGAAGTCAAAAACATACCAAGTATAATAATGGCAGCTGATGTTATAGTCGCAAGCCAGGGTGATTCCTTTGCGGTCAGGCCATACAAGACCGAATATGCAAGTAGTACTAGAAGTGAACCAAGATATAGAAGAACAAGATGCAAAGCCCTGCAGAGCTCCTCACGTGAGAAATAAGTTTTTATAACATAGTTCAGACATGTACATTATAGTAAATTACTAAATTATACACACATCTTAAGAAGTTAAAAGAAACTTCTACCATTACATTTATAGGCATAACTGATTTATATAAACAAATGCATGAATGTGAGTCATATATGTGCATATATCGCACTACTACAACAACAAATCTGTAATCTTGAAGCGTGTCTATTACACACACCGACACACACATATAGAGTAAATAGAGTAAAGCATAATATGAGCCTAAGAGCATAACATACAGTCATACAGATTGATAACAACAAACAGCTTTACAGAAATAGGCTACCAAACCCCCAAAAACACAGAATAGAACTACTACTACTACTACTATTTCAGACAATTTGATCTAAAGCTTGCCTTCTCGTTTTTCGGGAATATAACTCATTAGGTTCAGGAGGTTCCTGTAAGCAAGCAACTGGACCCACTTCAATACAGTCAGAGTAAGAGAATTTGTAAGCCCTCCGCACATACTCATCAACATCTAAGCCATTACCTGATGTGATTGGTAGCAAGAAAATCACTCAGCTAACAATTTAGATGCAAAACAGGAGATGTTAAATAAGTATAGACAAAAACAGCAGTTTACTCAAAGGAAAACCTATTTCTTTAACTGCACCAAGAAATGAAAAACTTTCAAGTTGGTGAGGAAACCTAACGAAAAACATAAAAGCAAAGACATATGAGGACTGAACATTCAGAGTAAATTACCGTTAAACACCATTCTACAAATAAAGAGCATGTTGATGGCTAAGGCAATTGCTGACACACCAAAGAAAAAGCCTGAAGGTGAATATCTCTCAGATGCACTAACACCGGCTGTGACATACACGGCACAAAGTTCATATGCACAGAGCAACCCAACAGCCAACAACAGAAGAACAGCTACAGCTCCTGCCCATCATGTTATAACAATGATTTAGTAAATGAAATTTGTAAGATACCATATGGGTTATATACTTTTATATATGCCATAACATAGTGACCACCTCAAAGTTCAAACATCCAAAATTAGTTCACGATGAATAGGCATTATTATAATTCTCTAGATCTTTGTTATGTTTATGCCGTATTTGAAAATTCCAGATTTAAAGTCATATTCTTATACCCTTACAATTTACAAGACAATCCCATTTAACGTGGGGGGGTTTTGTGCCCCCAAATCTAATATTTTTTATCACGCTAACATTCATCCAAAAACATTGCGCAAAGCCGCAAACACAAGCACTGCGCCTGATGAAGTAATATGTATAGAATTAATGTGAATCCAATGCAGGAAAATCATAACTAAAAAGTAATGAATAAAAGGAATACAAAGCAATTAAACTTTAAATTCATAGGATCAAAATTTTGTGCTGACTATGCAAAGACATGTCATACACATATACATACTTGAGCTTTGCCATTGTGTTCTCCACCAAAGCATGATTGAGTAGAATGCCAACAGAAGGGCAGTACCAGCCATTATCACAGCCAAACCAATTATGTCCCGGCCCAAAATTATAATTAGCCAGCTTCCCCACATTATAAGCACCACGATAGGAGAGACAACAATCAACCACGCAGTGAGGGACATAAGACTGCATAAAATTCCCAGCTGAGGACCTTGCATCATTCCAGGCCATTTTCTGGCAATAATCCAACTGAACAGGCAAGGAATAAAGTTTTAAAATAGCGAAAACCGATATCTTTGAAGGAGAAGATAGAAAAGTGTGAATCATTTACACAATATTAACAAAATCACAGGTCTCAATTTGGAAGGCTGTTTCATTTCCACCAAACGTGGAGGCCGGACCGCTGGAGCACATAAACTTACATCTGACATATCCAAACAAATATTTATCCATGCCAGTAATATGTTATACATTTTTCATTTCTTTTCGTTCTTGTACTCTATATATACATTCATCATATTTTAATACTACCTCTATCCCTAGATAATCTTCCCACTTTCCTTTCATATGTAAATTTATGAGGAGGTCATTACTACTTCTCAATTCTCATCATACCACATAATAATTTCATTAAATCGTTGGCATTTATTCGTGGAGACTGTGCCACTACGATGGCTTTTCCCCTGGGTTATAACAAACTCACCAGGACAACACTTAATTGCAATAATTAGCACTATATGTGATACATCACAAGTCTTGATCTGGATTCCTATTTCACTTTGAGTGGAGCTAACTTAGAAAGTGTTCCAAAGGCTGATTTCATAGCTAAGTGCACAATATCTTATAGAACAATGCATTAGAGGAAAAATGCATTAGTTTTATTCCCCATTTAGAAGTACACCATCTAGCAACGTCAACTAGTTTCCTTTGAGAATTGCAGTATTATCTATAACTGATAAGGTGAAAATATAAGTAAATAAATAAGAATATGAGCTTTTTAATATGGAGTCATAGTTGATAGCAATGCATGGAAAATGGAAAATTGAACATCCGAAAGTAAAATAGAAATTTAAAGAATGTTACCTATAAATTCTCCATGGTCGCCAATTGACAGCCCACAGTATAGTAAAAGAAGCAGAACAGAGCACAGAGAAGAAGGTCCCAGGAATCACACATGCCAATATTAATCCATGCTCGTTCCCTTTCATTTTTCTTTTATTTATTCTCTCCACCTCTCTGGACTACATTTGAAAACAAAATCTGATTCAAATATTTCAACGCTTTAAAAATATAGCCTTTATGCAGAAGGGAATAAATCCCACGGTTGAATATACACCAAAAGTATGGGAAGCCAATCAAAAGTTTATGTAGTACAGCTAAAAAGCGTTTATGGTTCATTTAGAGAAGTCAAAAGGTAAACTGAATATTAAATTTACAGCAAGTTAGAATCTTTTCTGAGAGAACTAAATCCTGCTAAGATTTTGAGCAAGAAAACAAAAACGAAAACCCCAACTCAGTCAATACATTTAGCCCTTTCAAACCCATACGTACTTCAAAAAGATGAAATCACATGAATTAACAATGCAGCTAGATTTCGACAAGAAAACTAAAAAAACACTAGAACTTGCAATACCAAATGCATTAAGCTTTGACTATAATGTTTCAAATAAAGACCCCAATTAACAACTTGTACCTGCCCCCGAAAGTGTTCCGAGTTAGGGATGAGGAAACACTTGCATTTCAAAGCAGAGTCCAGCTGACAGCTAGACTTTTTCAGCAAATTGGTAACTTGTCCAGCTCAAGAGTAAAGATAGGGTTTCAAACAACATTCCTTGTTTCTCAGCTCGGCAGACAAGAAGTTCAAAAATTGAACTGGAATTGGGGAATTTCAACCGCCCTACCTTGAATTTCACTATTTACGGTCAGGCAGACATGGAGAGAGAGACAGTGAGTTTAGGGGGAGAAAAATGCGCAGCACTTATTTATTTATTGTACTAAAAACCCTACAGAGAGAGAAGTCCTGGAACGAGAGTAAGAAGCTCTTCCGTTCGTCTTAATCTTATTACTTATTCCTTAATCTTATTTTATTCAGATCAGATCAGATCAGATCAGAAAGATTCAGATCAGATCAGATCATATCAGAAAGATTCAGATCAGATCAGATCAGATCAGAAACATTCAGATCAGATCAGAAAGATTCAGATCAGATCAGCAACATTCAGATCAGATCAGAAAGATTCAGACCAGATCAGAAACATTCAGATCAGATCAGAAACATTCAGATCAGATCAGATCAGATCAAAAAATTCAAACATGATTTATCACTTTTATTATTATATTAATTATGATTATTATATTATAGTTATTGACTTATTGTTAATAATATTAATATATTAATATAATAATATTATTAATAATAATATAATAATAATGTTAATAATATAAAATTATTATTATATTATAATAATATAATATAATATAATATAATATAATATAATATAATATAATATAATATAATATAATATAATATAATATAATATAATATAATATAATATAATATAATATAATATAATATAATATAATATAATATAATATAATATAATATAATATAATATAATATAATATAATATAATATAATATAATATAATATAATATAATATAATATAATATAATATAATATAATATAATATAATATAATATAATATAATATAATATAATATAATATAATATAATATAATATAATATAATATAATATAATATAATATAATATAATATAATATAATATAATATAATATAATATAATATAATATAATATAATATAATATAATATAATATAATATAATATAATATAATATAATATAATATAATATAATATAATATAATATAATATAATATAATATAATATAATATAATATAATATAATATAATATAATATAATATAATATAATATAATATAATATAATATAATATAATATAATATAATATAATATATTTATAATTATAATTATAATTATAATTATAATTATAATTATGATTTACAATGTAATTATAATTATAATCATCATTATTGTTAATATGATTGTTGTTCTTGTTGTTATTTTTGTAATTATTATTACTTCAGAGTAATTATATATTTAAATTAGTAATTATAGATATAATTATGATTATAGAGATAAATATTATAATTATAATTACAAAAAAATAATTATAAAATTAATCATAATTAAAAATATAATTACATTTATAATTGTATCTGTATTTATAATTAGTGTAATTGGTATAATTATTATAATTTTAAATTTAATTTTAATTATTATTTTTTTATAATTATGATTATAATTGTAATTTTATTTAAGTTATATTTTTAATTACAATTATAAATCTAATAATTATAATTATAATTACAATTATAGAAATATTCAAATCAGATCAGAAAGATTGAGATCAGAAGAATTCAGATCAGATCAGAAACATTCAGATCAGATCAGAAACATTCAGATCAGATCAGATCAGATCAGCAACATTCAGATCAGTTCAGCAACGTTCAGATCAGATCAGAAATATTCAGATCAGATCAGAAAGATTCAGATCAGATCAGATCAGATCAGAAAAATTCAGATCAGATCAGATCAGATCAGAAAAATTCAGATCAGATCAGATCAGAACTTAAAAAATTCAGATCAGAAACATTCAGATCAGGTGAACGGAACAGCTTCTAAAGGTGCGAGTGTGGATAATCTATATTTCCTAAAATGTTAGTGGTTGCTGTAATAATTAGGGAAAAGGGGCAAAAACACCCTTAAAGTTATCAACAAAGGGCACTTAAGCCCTTAAAGTTTTCTTTTGTGCAAAAATCTTTAGAATTCTTCAAAGGAGGGCAAACACACCCTTCTTTAACGGTGAACTCATTTAATAGAATTGGCAACCGTTAACTCGTTAAGTTGCTCCTTCGAATAGTAGTCAACGAAATGTATCGTAATTTTATTTGTTAACTAATCTTGTAAATTAGTTGAATGAATCTTAATTTTAAAAGTACGTTCGCCAAAAAATATTTTCAAAGTAAGAGATAACACCAAAACGATATCATTGCCACAATGATATAAAAGTTGAAATATTATTATACGAGTAATAGAATTTGCTAGGTAACATAAAAGTTGATATAATAAGCTATGTAAATTAGTTGAACTTTATATAAAAGTTTTTTTCAAAAATATTATCAAAATAAAATTTGCTTATTATAACGTGATGTTTTGGTAACTTAAGTTTAAAAATTGAACGTATGTTATTATAATTTCATTACTACTCTAGTCACTACTTACATTTTTGTAAACAATCTTTATTTTTGTCATAAATATGTAATCAGTTCTTTTCTATATAAAATATAAATTAAATGGTTAGAAATACCAATAATCCATAAAAAACATGATTAAGTAATGAAAGAACGATTATACAAAACTGTATTATTAATTAGAAAAGAATTTCTCTATATTACGATTAGAGTCCGTTTGGTGGCATTGGACTCAAGCGATTGAATATACTAAAATTGATAAAATTATTATTGAATCGACTTAATTAATTGAATCTACATAATTTCAAAGAATGGTATTTTTCGAATATCATGACTATTCCCATGAATATTACTAAATCGAATTCAAAAGACAAAAAAAATAATTTATTCCAAAAAATAAAAAAGGTGACATATTCAATAACTAGTTTTCAGTAACTCATTATCTATCAGAGTCTTTTCACTATGAAATACACTATAATGACACTTGTCTAGCTACTCGTACACAATGACTAGTCATACATTTTTATGAAAATATAACTAGTCATATTTTTTACCGGAGAAACTCTGTTAGTAGTATACATTATATTATATTTAGAATATATTTTATTAACATTTCATTCGTCCTCGATCTATCTGTCCCACTTGACATTTTACGTCTGTCACATTAAGTTTGTCGCATATCATATCAAACAATATTTAGACTATTACAATTTATTCTGACTTTATTCACATTTTATCAATTCAATACTGCGCATACAAATTCACTTTTTTTGTTTATAATTGCTTTGTTCCCTCTTATCCCAATATAATAGGATGGCGGATGTAGGAATATAAATAAAAAGTTAGATGGAACAACTAATAAAGTTAGATGGAACAACTAATAAAATAACTGATTACCAGAAAAGTAATTTCAACCTCATTTTTTATTATTATTACACAATTCAGCTAAAATATACTACATACCAAAGTAGATGATTTAACCTAGTTTGACAAAAAAATGGTTGATAAGTTTTGAAATCATATCTTGCCGAAATATTTATATTATTTAACTGCGTACTATTCATACGGAGTATTTATTAATATTTATATCAAAATATAATATGCATTTAAGTACCTAATTCGGTTTTGCCATATCAAATGGGCTCTAATGGAGTATTTTTTTCTAATTGCTAATAACCTTTATGTATAATTATTATTTCATTTTTTGGTCTTTTTATTCGGTACTTGTATATGTAATATATTTGTTTTATTATATTTTATTTTATATTTCAACAAATTTACAAACATAGTTAACATATATTCCGTACAATGTAAATTTATTCCATTCGTGAAAGCTCAAAGGAGCATTTTTAACCGTTGCTATCTCCGTTAGTCGATTACATTGGTTTACCGTGAGGAAGGGGGTGATTGCCCTCCTTTAAGGTGTTTTAAAGTTTTTTGCACCAAAAAAGACTTTAAGGGCATAGATGTCCTTTGATGACAACTATAAGGGTGTTTTTGCCCCTTTTCCCTAATAATTATAATATATAAAATAAATAACAGCTGGAAGGGTATTTGTCTGAGCCTCAGCGCGTGCGTCCCAACTAGGGGTGGGTTCGGTTCTTGCGGTTCGGTTTTGACCTAAAACTAAATATAGAATCAAAGTAAAAAGTTCGGTTCGGTTTCGGTTCGGTTTTACACTCCAAAACTTGGAACCACGGTTTAATTGGTTCGGTTTTTTTCGATTCGGTTTCGGTTTTTTCGGTTTTTTACCAAAAAATTATCATTTGATTTAAAATTGATATAGTACTTTGAGAGATCAAACATATATTACATAAAGAATGCAAGCACACTACAACAAATAAAATAAAAATGAAAATAAATAAATATCTCATGAATTATATGAGTATGCGAGAGAGATAAAAGTATATATTATTAATTTACATGGTTTGTGACTAGTTCAAAAAAAGTTCATGAGTATATACGTTATATGTGATATAGTTGAGATAAATATTTATTGTTTCATCAATACGAATTTTTTAAATTAAATAAAAATAAAAGTTAATTAATACTAATAACAAGTAAAAACATATTATTAGTATAGCTACATTATTACGTGCGATGAATGTGTAAATGAATTCATAAACTAAACTAAACATAACAAACATTATTTCTCTGGTACAAGAAAACCAAAAACTATTAATGATATTAGGATTAGTTAGGATTAATGCTTAACAATGGACAAATAAATTTTATATTTTAACTAGTTCGGTTTGTTCGGTTCGGTTCGGTTTTGAAGGGTAAAAACCAAAACCGAACCAAACAACTACGGTTCAGTTCGGTTTTTTACATTCGGTTTCGGTTTGTTAGCGGTTCGGTTTTATTTGGCTACGGTTCGGTATGATTTGATTCGGTTTTCGGTTTTCGATTTTTCGGACCCAGCCCTAGTCCCAACGCTTTTGTGAAAAGGGGCCTTTTTGTGTGGAGAGTGGGTGCACGGTCATTTCGTGTGGGAACGTCGACTGTTATGACTTTCAGACAGCCACATTTTTGTTATGGTTCCAGGGTGAAGCACCGAGAAGCCAAGAAATTAGGAACTCAAAGAAAGATGAATTCGAATAGCAGGAGAGAATTTTAGGGAAGAAGAAGATGGATATTATTCAACATAAGTGTTCGCATATACAATGGGCAAGCTATATACATGAGCTGAACTAATCTAACAAACTAACGGTGACACTAACAACCGCTAGGGCGT